CAGCAACAATTGATACTTCTAGGAGTCACAACCACCAATGGGGTTTTCTTTTTTCTTTTTTTTTTTTTTTTTTTTTTTTTGTCTTTTCTTCCAGTACCAGGAATCGAACTCACGACCTTGCGCTTGTCAGGCAGGCACTTTTGCCGCTGAACTAAACCCCCAGCCCCCAGACAAACTTTCTGCCAAGCCATAATACACATCGTCTGGAGTCCAACAAACAATGCAGTCTTTCTTTCCAGCAGAAACCTTCTGAACCCTGTCTTTACTCGCAGGATTTCTATCAGCCTTCTGGTCTTCTGAGCTCTGATCAGAATCTCCCATACAGAACAGCCAAAGGCATTCGAGCTCTGCCCTTTCAGGCAACATTTCCAAATCTTTCCAAACAGTTCCCACAAGCCATTTCCAAAGTCTCTTGAACCACATGGTCAGGTATAGTCACAGCAATGACCCCACTTCTCTGGTACCATATTTTGTCTTGGTTACTTTTCTCTCATTGCTGAGACAAAATACCCAATGCCCAAAATTAAGAGAGGAAAGGTTTATTTAGCTCACATTAGCTCTCTGTGGGGGTTTCAGTCCATACTTGGCTGGCTCCAAGGCAGAGTGACACATGGCAGAGGGAAACAGTTCATGTTGGCAGAAGATAGCAAAAGCAACAGGAACAAAAAGGGAGGAGCAGCGGCAAGCAGCCTCTTTCCCACCCTTCCACTGTATGCAAACTACCCGGGGCAGGTGTAGCACTCCCATCCATAATTCCAACATTGGGCCATGAATGAATCATAAACTCTAGAAGCCCACCCCATGACTGCATGAAGCTTTGGGGGAAAATCCAGACACAAACTATGACACTCCCTTAAAGATACATTTACTCTACAAACAACTACTTTAGTAGATAAATGGCAGAAACCCGACTTTGAGATAAAGGAACAGATTGAGAGAGTTCAAACAATGTTTTAGAAAGGATACCTTACGTCACTCCATCCTCCTCCCCTGCCCCCCCAAAAAAATTGGTGGAGCTTATGCCTTTCACCTGTAAAATGGGCTATTATCTTTCTGTGGGGGGGTCACCTTCCCAAACCAAGTTGGAACTCCCTATAATTCCAAAGATTTCCACCTTCACAAACATGAATATTCTCATCTCCAAACCGTAGCATGTCTCAATTTTCTGAACACCCATACTGCACTCTTCAGTGTGTATTTTTAAAATTGTGCCTAATAAATCCTTTTACACCTCTTTCTAACCAGTCCTGAATACTGTTTCAGTGATGGGAGTCAGCA